ATCTCTTGTAAGGATAGCGTAGTGGTAACAAAGTTTCTCAGGACATGCTTGTCTGTAAAATAGTTTATTTCTTCTTTGCTTATGAAGCATAGTTTGGTGGGATATAAAATTCCTGGTTCAAATTTCTTGTTCTTAAGAATATTAAAAATTGTCCCCCAATTTCTGTTAGCTTGTAAGGTTTCTGCTGAGAAGTTCATTGTTAGCCTGATAGGCTTCATTTTTATGTGATCTGATCTTTTACTCTAGTTGCCTTTAAGACTTTTTTCTTTAGTGTTGACCTTTGACAGTCTTGTGACTGACTATACACTTTGGTGATACTCATTTTGTATAATATTTGTCAGGTGTTTTGTGGATTTTTTTGAATTTTAATATCTGTCTTTCTAGCAAGAATGGAGAACATTTATTGAATTATTACCCCAAATATTGTTTTCCAAGTTACCTACATTGTCTGCTTCTTTCTCATGTATGCCAGTAATTTGTAGGTTTGTTAACTTTACATTATCTAACATTTTTCAAAAACATTATTTATTTCTTAAAATTCTGTTTTTCTTTCTTTTTATCTGGCTATGTTATTTCAAAATACTTGTCTTCAAACTCTAAAATTTGTTCTGCTGCTTGGTAGAAAAAGCTTTATCTATTGATAAAGATAAAGGTAGATAAAGCTTTATCTATTGATAAAGCTTTCAGTTGTATTTTAAAATTTCTTAAGTTACTTTTTCAAATCTAGAAGTTCTGATTGCTTTCTTTCAAGATGTTTATTTCTTTCTTTATTTCCTGGACTGCTTTAGAAGTTCTTTGTATTAATTTTCAACTTGTCTTGGATCTCACTGGGCTTCCTTGAAGTCCAGGCTTTGATTTCTTTCTGTCATTTCTGCATTTACATTTTGGTTAAGAACCATTGGTGGAGACATACTGCAATTTTATGGTGATGTCACTGCATTCACATTTTTTTAGTGCTAAAATTCTTGCATTGGTTTCTTCTCATCTGAGAATGTTAGCACTTCTAATTTTTGCAATTTTGTGTCAGTAGGATTTTTTTTCTTTATTTCAGTATAACATGGTTTTTTGTTTTTTTGTTTTTTGTTTTTTTCATTTCCCTTTCCCTTTCCTCTCCTCTCCTCCCTGCAGGGTGTGACTATAGTGAATGCTGGGTATGTTCAATTGGCTTTGCTTCTATAACGCTATGTACTTTCATTGGCAGATTTTATATTGATGTATGTAGTTCAACCTACAAGCCCGTAGATGGTACTTGTGGGTGGGAGCTGGCTGTAGCTGATGTGGCAGGATTTACACTGATCCTTGTTTACTGGGAGAAGCTCTCTGTCTTCTAAGGCAATGGGCTGATATGTGCAGTACACAGTTGTCTGAGCTCCTTGCTCAGCACTATGTTGGGGCAGGTCCAAGATGGGTGTGACCTGCCTAAATGTCCCCGGATGTCAGGCACAAGCACCAGCACTTAGCAAGGATCCAGTGTACAGCCACTAAACACCCAAAGGTGTGCCTAGGCATGGAGCTGGGAGACCTCCTGAGCCCCAAGTTTTCTGGACAGGGATTAGAGGAGGCCTAAATTTCTAATCCAGAAGAGCTAGTGCTCCAGATGCCTGGAGATATGCCTTGGTAGGGAACAGAGAGAGTTGCCTGTGTGTGAAGCTGAGAGAGCCACCCTTCACCAAGATCTCTGCACAGTAGGTGTGGGGCAGCTCCAGGTTGCTGAACCAGGTGAGTGGGTGCTCTGAATGTCTGAAGATCTGAATGGCATAAAGTGTAGATGGCCTGACTGCATCATGATCCATGCCCAAAAAGGGCAGGGTTGTTCAGGCTACTAGTCCATGTGAGCAAGTACTCCAAATTCCTGGAGATCTGTCTGCATGTGTTGTGATGAAAGCCTCACTGCATCACCACCTATGCACAGAAACAGGGGCAGCTAAGGCTGTTGATCCAGGTGAGGATGTGCTTCAGATAAATACCTGGAGATCTGTTTGGGCATTGAGTGCAAAGTGCCTGCTATACCACAATTTATGCCCATGAAGAGCGGGGCAACTCAGATTGCCGATTGGAGCAAGTGGGTGCTTCAAATGCTTGGATTTCTGCATGGAGGTGGAACGGAGAGGGCCCTGCTATACTACAATCTCAAGGGAGCATGCTGGGGCACCCAATAATGGCATATGCAGGTCAGTTTCAGGTTGCCAGCTGGCCTTGAATGAAAGCCTCATCACTCAGGAGAAACTACAGCTATAGCAGCTCTTCTCCTGCCCCAGGGCTTCAAAAGGGGAGTGTACAATTCTGGTGCCTACTGCTGTGTTGCTTTCTACAGTTCTGGCTACGGAGGTCCCTACCCTGCTCCAGAGCAGGTGTTCCAATTTCTGACCTGAGACTAAAATACCTGCATGGCCATGCTGCTAGGTCTCAAAGGAATGGCTGATTTGTATGTGCCTGGATTGAAAATGGCATCCTGCTCTCAGTCCTCAGCCTGGGAAAATGTCTGTAGTTTTTCCTGGTGTTTTTTCCTCACAGGTCTCCAAGCCTCTCCCCAAGTTAACACCAGGACTTTAAAGAAACAAAATATTCTCCCTACTCTTGGGTTGCTCAGATCCCCAGTAGAAAGGTGAGTCAGAGGGAGGCTCTCTGCCTCTCTCATGTACTGGGGCTTCACTTACTTTTATCAACTGGATGCCATCACGTGGACTGTTTGCCCACATTCTCCTCCCTGGGGCCTGGAGCATCCTTCACAATACTGGTGGATTCTTATTTTTCTTCTTGAATTAAAGTTTACAAAGTTGCTCTTTACATACTGTATTGCTATTTCCAAGTCACTGAGGCATGATAAAAGGCTTTAATCTGTCGTCATGGAAAAATAATCTATTATTACAGTTAGTTTACATCCTTTTCAAAATATAGAAGTCTCTTGTAAGAACTGTGATTTGCAAATATTTTTACTCAGTCTGTGGCTTGCCTTTTCATTCATTTACATTACCTTTTGCAAAGTAAATATTTTTAATTACAAATAAGCTCAACTTATTATGTTTTTAAAAATAAATTGTGCTTTTGATGTTGCAGTTAAGAATGCTGCCTAACCCACAGTCACAAAGATTTTATCCAATATTTTCTAAGAGAGATTGTAGAGTTTTACATTTAGACTTTTGGTTGATTCCAAGTTGATTATTTTATAAGATTAAAAATGTGGGTCAAGTTTTAATTTTTTGTTTATAACCTATAATCGTTCTATTGCCATTTGCTGAAAAGCCTATACCTTCTCCATTGAATTCAGACTTTCATTGAAAATCACTTTATATTTTTGTAAATCTATTTCTGGACTGATTATTCTATTTTTGTTAATCATTTTGCTAATATTACACTGTAATGATTAGTTATATTTTATAGTAAATCTTGAAATCAGATCATGTGAGTCCACAAATAGGTTTTTTTTTTAAATCAAAATTGATTGCCTAGTCTAATTCCTTTATCTTTCACTATAAAGTGTCAGCTTGTTGATATCTACAAAAACAGAAATCCATCTAGGATTTTTTTTTTGTTTAGATTATGTTGAGTTTACAGACCAATTGTGAAACCACTGACATCATAACAATATTGAGTATTCCAAGCTATTGAACATGGTATATCTCTCCATTTCTTTAAATCTTCTTTATTTTTTAATCATTTAAAAAAACATTTAAGCACACAGATATAACACACATTTTGTTAGATATATACCTAAATGTGTCTGTGAATAGATACAGTGTTATTTGTTTATTTTCAATCTGTATGTCTTTCATTTATTTTTCTTGCTTTATTTCATTGGCTAGAACTTACAATATTATGTCAAATAGGAGCGGTGTCAACCTTACCGTTTCTGATTTTGGGGGAAAGGTAATCAATATTTAACCTTTAAATATAATGTCAGTTGCCTCTTTTTGTAGAACCTGCATGTCAATTTGAAGATATTCCCCGGTTTCTAATTTGCTAAGATTGGATAGTTCTACTAATATTAGTTTTGATGTAATTGGTTGATTTTATTCTTCAAGTCTTCTATATGTTTAATGATTTTCTATTTTTTCCATCAAGTTCTAAAAAGTATTGTAGTGTCCAAGTGTAACTGTGGATATGTCTATTTCTCCTTTCATTTCTGGCTTATTTTGCTTCTCATATTTTGAAGCTCTGTTGTAAGGTGCATGCACACTTAGGATTCATATGTCTTCTTGGAGAGTTGGTCTTTTTGTTGTTATATAATGTATTTATTTATACTAGATAGTATTTCTTGCTCTCATACTTGATATAGATAAGGTAACGCCATCTCTATTTTACTAAAATTCGTATAATATTTTTATTGATGTCTGATTATCTGTTGACATTTGAGGACTATACAGAAATTTTATAAAAAGAGTATTACAAGCTATTATAGTTTATAGCTAAGTACTTTGATCTCTATTATGTTGCTAACCTCTATTTTATGATGATTTCAGAAAATGAAAAATACAGAAATAATTGTCTTTAAAACAATGGCAACTATATTTTATTCTTGAAACTAAGTCATATCTTAGAGTTCAATAAACTACCTTTCCAAATTTATGTAATTCTCAACTATTTTTTAGCTATAATTAGTTCATTATATATTCTTTTAATTTGTTTTCCTATTCATTTTACTTTTATGTCCTCTCTAACTGCTAGTTAGAAGCCATATTTCAGCTGACTTACATGTTTTGATGAATGAGCATAGTTTCCCTTGAGGGTCACAAACACAATAAAAAATACCTACATTTGGGAGACTAGGCCAAAAGATCCTAATTATAATAATGAGATCTCATCCACCCACTCCAAGTCATTTATACTTCCCTAGGAGTTATGTCGCGACAAATTAAAAATACTAACTCTGAAAATAATGGAAGTCTCTAGTGCGTTTGTATATAGGTTTTTACCTTTCTTTGTTACAGTGTTACTTAAGTAGCTAATAAAAATATGCCTTTGAAATATAAATTTTATTGTTTGTTTCCTCATTCCAACAGCTGCAGAAATAACTGTTCAGCCAACTGTGGAAGAGGCCTCCGACACCTGCACTCAAGAATGTCTCATCTTGGGCCATTCTGATTCCTGCTGGATGCCGGCATCTCTGACCCATTCCAGTTCTTCGCAAGCACAGGCCTCTACTCACCACCACAGCCCAACGGTGACACAAACCGTTGCTCTCTGCCACAGCCCTCCAGTGACACAGATCATCGCATTGTGCCACAGCCCTCCACCGATACAGGCCTCTGCTCTCCGCCACAGTCCTCCGCTAGTGCAGGCTACTGCACTTTGCCACAGCCCACCGTCAGCACAGGCCTCCGCCCTCTGCTACAGCCCTCCTTTAGCACAGGCTGCTGCAATCTGCCACAGCTCTCCTCTGCCACAGGTTACTGCCGTCCATCTCAGCCAGGCCCAAATGTCAATGAGTTTGCAGCAAGGTAGGGTGCAAGGTGATGATGGACTATGCTCTGTTGATCAGGGAGTGCAAGGTAGTGCAACATCTCAGTTTTATACCATGTCTGAAAGACTACATCCCAGTGATGATTCAATTAAAGTCATTCCTTTGACAACCTTCACTCCAGGCCAACAGGCCAGACCCACTAGTCCTGATTTCCCCATTATGGAAGAACATCTCTTGTAAAACTAAAATAGTTATTTCAAACTTTCAGAAAAGAAGTATGCAGTCAAAATTCAAGATACAATTTCAATGAGTATTCTGATTATCAGGTTTGTAAATAGCTATGTAAATAGAAACAGACACCAGAATAAGTCTAGAGCTAGACCCTTAGTCAAAGGTTAACAAAAAAAATTGCAATTTGTTTAATTCAGAATGTATATTTCAAAAGAAAAGGAATTTAACAATTTGCATCCCCTTGTACAGTAAGGCTTATCATGACAGCGTGTACTATTTCTGATGTACAGTATTTTTCTTGTTGTTTTTTGTCACCATGTGCAATATTACTGATTTTTTTTTTTCCTTTCTGATTGTGTGGAACCAGTATGTAGCTAATGGAAAGCCTAGAAATATCTTATTTTCCAAGTTTACCTTTAGTTTATGTCAACTTTTCTTCAGATAATATTAAAAGGTGTACATACTCTAGCATTTGTTTTTTGGCTTTTTGTTTGATTTTTTTGTTGCTTTCGGTTTTTTTTGTTGTTGTTGTTTTTAGTGCTTTTCCCTTCAAAATACACAGTAGGTAGTGTAAATACCGCTTGTTGTTTGTGTCTCTGTCTCTGCTTTTATATTTTCTACTTTATTGTAGTACTATATTGTTGATACAATTTGTATATACATTTTCAATAAAGAATATATATAAACTGTACAGATCTAGGTTTATAACCTATTTCTCTACTCTTTAGTAGAGTCCGAGACACAAAAGTGCAATAACTGGCCAAATTAGGCAACTATTTGCTAAAAAGGGCCTCTTTTTACTTTAATAGTTTAGTGTAAAGTACATCAGAAATAAAACTATATCTGCCATTTTAAGCCTGTAGTCCATTATTACTTGGGTCTTTATTCGGGGAATTTGTACGTAACAGTCTAGAAAATTAAAAGGATGTGGATGCATTCAATGCACGAGTCACTTACAGCGTTGACTGTAAACTACTATTTTGTAGAGAAACTCAGGAAGATTTAAATGTTGATTTGACAGCTCAATAGGCTGTTACCAAAGGGTGTTCAGTAAAAATAACAAACAAATACATATAACTGTACATAAAACCATATGCTCAATCTACAAGACTAAGGGATTTTTCTTATTCTAGCTCAATTTACTTAAGAAAATGACTAATAACAACAGAAAAGTCAGGAACAAACTTTTTAAGAAATGTAATTCTAAGCCTACATCAAACACAGAATTTTAAGGAGAAATGCAGAGGGAGAAATAAGGCTCATGACTGCTTCTTGCAGTCAACAAGAATATACACAAAACAAAACAAAAAAAAAACAAGAAAATCTCATATATAATATATAATATGTCCTTCTAAGCAAAGAAAGAGTATTATTCAGAGAAAACATTAGTTTTCTCCTGTTATCTGTTCTTTACTTTTTTTCTTTTATCCTCTTAACTGGCCATTATCTTCTATGTGCATATTTCATAAATTTACAGAAACACCACCAATTTATTTTTCTTCCATAGTAAAACTGAGAAAATATCTTGTTTCAGTGTAACACTAAACCAATTGATGTTTAATGAGGGCAGTCGGGAGGAGTGAATATCTCCTATTGATTAAGTTAGACATAGATTTTGTGATGTGTAACTTGATATTTAATTTACAACTAAACTGTGTGTAAATTGTGTAACATAAACTGTGGTAATTGCATAATTTCATTAGTGAGGATCTCTGCTGAATGTGGAGAAAGCTTTTCATGTGCCCAGCAGGTAAAGTGCCGTTTTCAGAATATATATTATTCCATCGATTGTAAAGCTCCTTAAATCATATTTGATTGGGCGTGCAGAATAACTTTTAACTATCAGTTTAATTAATACAATTAATTAATATTTATTTTTCTTTTGTGTTTGTTGATGTTCCAAGGGATTTAGAGCATACTGGTTTTCCAGTATGTGAATCCTGAAGGACTGATGATATTTGAACGTTTATTAATGTATTATTATATAAATGTGTTGATATTGTTGCTATTGTTGATGAAAATTTTGAACTTGAGGAAGATAAAAAAAGAAAAAATAATGACAAAAATCAGTGTTCACAGTAGATTTTAGAAAATTTTTTGCCTCAAAAAACTTGAAAGATTATGTGAATAAGATTTTTTCTTGTATTTTAATTATTTTCACATTTTTTCACATTTTCTCTCTGCAAACCTTTAATTTTGTTATGTTCTACACACACACACACACACACACACACACACACACAGACAGACACTCTTAACGGATATAAAAGGAAGAGGCTGAAAAATTATTAAATAACTTATCAGGCATCTCAATGGTTACTATCTATGTTAATGAAAATCGAATAGGACCTCAAGATGGATATTTGGGATTTTTCTTCTGGTAGTACAATTTACTGAGTTACTTGGGAGGTTCTTAAATCCTCATGTCTAAAAACTTGTGAAGTTTGACACCTTTCCTATAGATATAGGAATGAACCAATATGCTTTTATTACCCTTTCTAACTCTGATTTTATAATCAGACTTAGATTTGCGTTTAGAATATTAAATGACTGGGCACCCTCTTCTTGGTTTGTACCAGAGAGGCTTTGAATGGAAGCAGGCTGAGAGTAGCCAAAGAGGCAAGGGGAGTGAGCCCAGTTATTCTCCCCTATGCATTCTCTTTCTAAGCTTCCACTAGGACTGACCCTGGAAGCCTGTAACTTCTAGGGCTTCAGATCTGATGAAATCTGTTTCATCACATTACAGATTCTTCCTTTGACTAAATAGACAGAGGTATCGGTTGACACAGCTCACAGGTGGCTATTGTGATGTATGAATGTGTAGTCCTAGAACTGCAAAATGTCTTACTTAACTGTCAATCAAAAAGTGGTTCTGTTTTAAAAAGAAGGATTTGGTTTTATTTGAAATTAAAACTTCAAATTGAATGTCTTATATGAGAATACTAGATTCAATCAAACTACTTATTCTATTTTGTGTCCATATTCAATTAGATTGTCATTATTAATTTTCTAGCTATTGCATTACTATTACACGTGTAAGTATGTATTCAAATACTAAGTACCTTTATGCTACGTGCATACACACTCTTTTCTTAAACTTTATCTTCGTTTTAACTAATATTGTGTCAGTGTATTAAAAAATAGCTTTTACATGTGGTAACTACAATGTAACAAATTGAGAGAGTAATTTTGTGTAGTCTTATTTAGTTACTTAACATTTTATTTTTAATTATGTAAGTTTGGTTCAAAAAAAATGATTGTTAAATGGTTAGTGCTATTGTGTAATGGTAACAGTTGCAAAGAGCCTCTGCCTTCCCAAACTAATATTTATCACACACAGCCATTAAATGGGAAAAAATAAGACTAAAAAAATCACAAATTGTTCAGTTCTTAAAATGTAATCATATCACACACAAAAAAAAATCCTTTTCAATCCTGAGAAAGTTAAGGGGGTTTTACTCACATGTATATTTCAACATTAATTTTTTTTGTTTGTTTCTTTTTCATGTTATTACTGAAGTCGTGTGTACTTCCTAATATACATTTATGAAAATCTACTTGTTTAGACTTTCATTTATACACTTCTGATTTATATTTTTCATTATTATTATTTATCTTTCTTTTATATTTTTTGAAAACCAAATCTATAGTTAGTTTGGATAAAATTTTTATCATTATCATTAGAAACTATGTTGAATGTTTCCAACTGGCCCCATTGGCCTGGAAAACATGGGAGCAAGAGAAGCTGAAATATATTTCTACAAGAACCTTTCTATATTATGTGCCAATTACCACACCAGATCAATTTTATGCAGAGGCCTTAAAATATTCTTTCACAGTAGCTTTCTTATGCTAACCATCATGTGCTTTTAGTAAATACGATTTTTAAAAGCAGTGCAAGTTGAAAACAGCAGAAACAGTCATGCTCAGAAAAATGTATGTGCACAAATTTTAAAAAAATGATGGCAATTGTTTAGTGATTGTAAGTGATACTTTTTTAGGAGTAAACTGTGTGAAATTTATGCTATCCCTGCTTAAAATGTTAAGAATTTTATAAAATATATATTTACATTTGTGTTGTGGAAAGATTCCTCCTCTGTGATATTATACAGCATCTGAAAGTGAACAGTATCCCAAAGCAGTTCTAACCGTGCTTTGGAAGTAAGAAGGTTGGCTATCGTATGGCTGAGGGTGGCAGTATGTAATCCAGCAGCAAACTTGTATTAATTGTTCTATTTCAGGTTCTGTATTGCATGTTTTCTTATTAATATATATATTAATAAAAGTTATGAAAAAATTCATTTTTATTATGTGCGTTCATTAATTAAAAACACAAAGGATTCACTTTATTTTAAATGAATTTTTAAATTTATGTAGAGTAAAATACCCTTTCTCAGTGGTATATTTTGGAGTTAGCATATTTTTGTTCACTCTGATAGATAGCTCCATCAATAAAATTCCTGACTTGAACATAATTTCAATCACTTTGAAAATTTGTGAACACTATTATAGTGTTTTGGAGCATTTATTTTGCATCTTTTAAGACGTGGTTTAAGAGATATTTATTTATTCCAGATTAGACCTATGGCTTGACTTGATGTAAAAGCTACGTAAGGATTTCTCTGTACAGCCACAGGCGATCCACGTGAAATAAGTTTCTGGAGATTGTTGATGATATTTGCGGAACAAAATAACTTTACTCCTGGCTTTGTTTTCACTTTGGCTAAATGGAGAGAATTCATTGAAACCTCTCAAACTACATGGTGTCACTCAATATGTAATTCCATTTAGAATTTTGATTTAGAATTACATACTGCACTGTTTAGTGCTTTTTGTTTTACTTCTTTTCTCACTCATATATTTATTACTGTGATATTAATTCATTCATTTTTACCAAGGATTAGCTGGTGAAGAAGCAAAAAAAGAAAAATTTAAATCAAGAAACATTTTAACCTCTGGCAAAAGGGAGATTGGGGTTTTAAAAGTACAATATATGTGTGGGTTAATTTGTGTTATTTCTCATCTTCACTCCAGCCATTTGGGAAAAAAAAAAAAAAACCCACAAGTTGTTGTGAATTAATTTGTGAAGCTGATTGAGAATAACCAGGTTCTATATAGTTATTATAATAATAACTTTAGCAAGAACTCTAGAGCCTGAGAAAGTGAATATGATGAAAACATACTCTGAATGGGAGAAAAAATACCCTA